GGAAATGACGGTCTCTAGTCGTGCTCAGTGCACCTATCCTTCTTGCTGTCTTTGGGGGTTACTCTTAAAATCTAGTGCGTGCAGAATCAGGGGTACCCTGAGTTCTCATAATTCCTGCAGCCCGGTCATCCCAAAGCACTGTCAAAACGCGGACTTAACCCTGAGTCTAAACCCCTAAACTGCCGTTTTCAGGCGGCGCACTACTTGTGGCCGCCTGACAGCGGGCGAGGCGTGGAGCCGAAGAAACCGGCTTGCCCTGCATCTTGCGTTCGTAGCGTGCGAGAACGTCTGGATCTGTCGCTTGCAGTAATGCACGGGTTAACCAACGGTCAGCTCGATGTATGCAGTAGGCAAAATGCACCAAATACTCAGTTGGCTTGTTGCCAAAGCGTCGCTGGGAGATGATGTCGCCGACCTCCTGAAAACCATCCATAGAASGTGGGTCTTGCATCCGTCTCCCGGGAAAGTCGTCATGATCCGCTGGCGTGTAGAGAGCCAGTTTGGAGCAATGAAAGACTGGGTAGATAGGCAAGTGGCTAGGCACCTGAATCGTAAAGGAGGGTCCTTCGGGTGCGTCCCCAGCGGGCTCTTTGATCGACCAAGCCCCCATCCATTTCGGGAGGAGCTTGCGAGAGACGTCTTGTTCAAGGCTCAATTCGGTGCTGAAACCCAGACGAGGTCTCCGACGCGGAATGGACAAGGAAGACGCTGGCGATTTGCCTGTTGGCGCATGCGCTGTTGCGTCTTAGCCATCTGGTCGCGTGCCTTGACAAGAAGCTCTTGCACCGACGCAAGAAAAGAAGATGGTCGTCGCTCTCGGCCGTGCGTGGAGTAATTGTGTCCAACGGTGACGTGACCGGCGAGCCGTGCTCGAACTCGAAGGGCGATATCCCAATAGCCGGGTGGATGGAAGAGTTGTAGGCCATCTCAACGTCCGACAGTCGCTCAACCTAGTCTTTCTGGTCGGGGCTGATGAGAGTGCGAAGGAGAACCTGTGCGGTCTGATGCGCCGTCTCCGTCTGGCCATCGGTCTGAGGGTGGTGAGCTGAACTGGGCTTGAGAGATGAGCCCCATCGCTTGATGAGCGCCAACCAAAAATCGAACATGAACCGAGTGTCGCGGTCGCAGACGATCTCCTTGGGGTAACCCTTGGTGCGAATCCAACCGGCGTACAGAACCTCAGCCAACTCCGGTGCCTTGGCATGATAGCGACAAGGCAAAAACATGGCGAACTTGGTAAGTCGGTTGACCACCGTGAGAATCCCATCCAGTCCGGTCTTGTGCTTGGGGAACGGGCCGGTGATGTCCATGACAATCGCTTCCCCTCGCCTCAACGGGACTGGCAATGGTCGTAGCTCACCGTACAGACGATGGTTGCGGGATTTGCAGCGTCGGCAAACCTCGCATGACTCGCAATAGCGCGTGACGTCGCCGAGAAGGTCGGACCACCAAAATCGCTGGCAAAGTCAGCCAATCGTGCGATTGACTCCAAAATGTCCAGTGGCGGGAGCGTCATGGAACTCGCCAAGAAGCCGTATACGCACGTGAGGATCACTCAGTACGCAAAAAAGGTCCTTCCCCCGCGTGTGCAAGCAAGTACCCCTCTTGGATCCAGTAGTGAGAAAGAGCCGGATTAGGCGAGGAGCAATTTGCGTACTTGTCGCGAAACTCGGGGTCGGCTTGGTAAGCGCGGATGAAGCTGTTCCGCAGGTCGTCGTCAATCTCGAAAGTTGAGTAGACCGCGGTACAATGATCCGGACGCCGTGAAAGAGCATCCGCAAAACGGTTCGACTTCCCGAGAATGTGATTGGGAAAGAAGTCGAACTGGTCGATGAAAGCCATCCATCGAGCGATGGTGCTGTTGACGGTGTCTTGGGTCTTGTAGAAGACCAACGGATTGTTGTTTGTTACCCAGCGAAATTGGCTTCGACCAAGGAGGAAATGTCGCCACCGCCTGAGCGCGTGGACGAAGGCGAGGAGCTCCTTCTTACGTGCATCGTCAATGGAATGCACGAGTGGCACTTTCTTGTTGAAGTACTCGACCGGCTGCCAATCCACACCATCATGTTGCCTGAGGACCGCACCAATGCCATAGCCTGACGCATCCGTAGTGACACGTGTGGGCGCGAGCGGGTCGTATATCCGCAAGACCTCCACAGACAATAGCGCCGTTTTGAGAGCGAGGAATGATCCCCGCGCCTCCTCTCCAAAGTCAAACGGTCGATCCTCGCAGTGAAGCTTGTTCAAGTGGGCCGCGATCTAGGAGTAGACTTTGATGAAGCGCTGATAGTAGCCGGTAAGACCAAGGAACGAGCGGACATCCGTGACGTTCCGAGGCTCCGGCCACTCTTGGACGGCCTGAATCTTGTCCAATAGCGGACTGATGCCCTCCGGTGTGACAAAATGGCACAAGTATTCCAGCTCTTGCCGGACAAATTCGCACTTGTCGCGGTTGGCCTTGTACTTGGCACGGCGGAGCGTCTCCAACACTCGTCGAACATGTCCAAGATGATCCTCCAATGTCCGGCTGTAGACGAGAATATCGTCTAAGTAGACCAGCGCGAACCGGTCCAACATTGCACGGAACTCATTGGTCATCGCCGCCTGGAATGTCGCCGGGGCGTTGGTGAGGCCAAAAGGCATGACCACCCACTCAAAATGCCCGTACCGCGTCTTGAATGCGGTTTTATAGTGATCATTCGGCTGAATCGAGATTTGATGATATCCTGATTTCAAATCCAACTTAAAAAAATACTTCGCACCGCCCAGCCGCTCGAGGAGATCGTCGATGCGAGGAAGAGGCCCCGCATTCTTGACGGTTTGTGCGTTGAGCTTGCGGTAGTCGATACACAATCGTAGATCCTTGTTCTTCTTCCTGACAAAGAAAACTGGTGCTCCATATGGGGAGCTACTCGGGCGGATCCAGCCCTTGGCCAACAAATCATCGAGTTGTGCGTGGAGTACCTTAAGCTCCTCCTCGCTCATCCGATAGATGCAACCTTTCGGCGGCACGGAACCGGCCTCAAGAATGATCTCGTGAGAGATCGGCCGACCCGGCACCACACCGGTAGGTGACTCGAAGATGTCGGCGAACTCGTCCAGCAACCGTACCACACGGGGGTCCGAAGACAAGTCCGTGGGTGAAGAGTCGGTTACCGCAACGGTCCGTAGGAAACATATGCCGATCTCCTCGGGCTGCTCGTAAGCACAAGTCGCCCGGAATGATTTGGCCGTCACCACTTGGCACCAGATCGAAGAGTGTGGTAGAGGAATCGTACACGCCATTTCCGCGCCGAAGGCGTCACGAACGCTTAGAGTCCGCCAATGGAAGTTGACCATATGATCCGCACTTGCAAGCCAAGGCATTCCCAGAATGAGGTCGAAGTCCGTGTCGAGAATATCGAATGCCACCGGTTCGCATGCATGAGGTGTGAAGTAGACCGGTACGGCCTCGATGTAATGGTCGAGTAGTTGCTGCGTGTTTCCATCCGCCAACTTGATCGCCGTCGGGTTTGCCTTTCTCCGAACTTGTGCGCCAAGGCCAGCTCTTTGCATAAAAGACTGGCTCATGAAGTTGTGAGTCGCGCCGCTATCCAGCAAAGCGCTGCAGGACGCTTGCCCAACCTGGATGCGGACATACATGAGCGGTGCATTGTTGTTATCGTACCGCTGTGTGCGAAACTCGCGGGCCACCTTGGTAACGTACGCCAGGATGTCCCCCACCGCGACTTCGTCATCCGTCGGCGAAGTTGGTAGTGCATAGAAGGAAAGGTAAGTGTGGAGATGAGCGCTAAGTGCTGCGCATTGCGGTCCCGGCAAACAGCCTGTGGTCGGGAGAGGAAGCCATGCAAAGTCCTCAGATGTGAGCGGGTCCAAAACCTCTATCTTGAACTCGCGCGCTGAATCCCGTGACGAACCACTTGAAGACGATATGTCGCTGTTGCCGGACGGAGAAGAAACCGCACACACTCCTTGTCCTTGAGCTTGAGTACCCAGCGTTGGAACGAGCCAGGCAGCATAGTCCTTAAAAGAAAATAGAAGCGGAGGACTGTCGACTTCCGTGTGCGCCTCAGAATGAAGGCTGGTCACTCGCGAAGAAACCATTTCCGAAGGCGTCGAGCGTGTCGTCGCATCACTCTCGGCAGTGCTCAGTTTCCCTGTCGACCCTTGCCCTTCAGTGGGCAAACCGGCGTCAAATGAAGATCGTTGTTGCACCACAGGCAATAATGCAATCTCTCGCGCGCCTTGTATGCGGACTCGGAGAGGTCATACGGGGTCCATGGGCTTGTCCGAGCTACTGCACCGGGCCCGGGGCTAGAAACGGTGTGTGTCTTCGGCTTGCCGCGCCCTCGGCCTCTGCCGGCGCGGCCACCTTTCTGGGCGGCTGCGAATCTGTCTCCTTCACTGGCAGACGCAGCCTCGCTGGTCTGGTCTAACGGCGCTGCCGCTGCGACCACGACCACTTGTGGCTGATGCTGGTTCCCGCTCGGGCCTGATGCAGAAGAACGGAGGCTTTTGGCCTCCTTGTTCGTAACGATGATCTGCGCAGCCTTGTCGAATAGTTTCGCCGTCGTCGTCAAGGTGTCCTCGACATGCGTCAGGGCATTGCTCAATGTCGGACATGACCTTGAGATGAAGTAGTGGCGGATGGCCTTGAAGCCCATCTGGATATCCGGGACTAACGTCAAGCGTTGGTACTCAGCGATCCAGTCCGTACTCGGCAGCGTGCCTTGTTCGAAGACCATGAGCTTGTCCATGGCTTTGATCTCTGGCGGCTCCACCTGGATCCGCTTGTGCCACGCCGCCTTCAGATCATCCCAGCTGATCATGGTGTGCAAGTCCGCTGCTACCACTCCGTACTTGGACAACAAGTTGTCCAACCACGCTTGACACGCGCCCCCTGAGCGAGAGTACAAGTAAGCGTGGTGCTTGTTTTCCTTGACGTTGTGGAGCTGCAGCGTGAGCTCGAACTTGTGAAACCATGGAATTGGATCTGTCTTGATTGAGTCGTGGAAGATCTCCTGCCCATCGAACTTAGGAGATGTCTCGCGCGGCTCCGGACTCGAGGTGGTGGCGGTAGTGCAGATCCGCTGCTGCAATTGTTGCGTCACGCTCTGCTGTAACTGTGCGCCGTCTTGGAGGGATCCGACGTGCATTTCCAATGCGGTGAGGTGGTCGGCAGTGTTGGAAGAGCCTGCGTTGGCGGCGTCGACTGGTCGCTGCTCCACCTGTTGAAGGCGGCTTTGGAGGTTGGCTACCGAGTTGTCGAGACCAAGGATCTCTGCCTGCTGTGTAATGCAGGTTGCCAGGAGATCCGTGAGATGCGAGAGGAGGAGCGCTATCTTGTTTGCGCTGTCCTCCAACTGGCTGTTCTCGGCCTCGCTTCGGCGGCTTCGCCATTTTGCTGCCATGGTAAGTAACGCCCGCTCTCCGATGAATATCTTCTCACGATGCTGTGTTTAATCTTCATCATCAGCCCTTGCTTCTGCCTCGTCGTGCTGGCGCTGTTGTTGCACGGCCAGCAGACGTGCCTGCTCGGCATCCTCTGCCCTTTTTTTGGCTGCTGCGGCAGCGTCATCTGCTCGCTTCTTTATCTCGGTACTCCAGTCTAACATGCGGGCCTGATAGGCCTCGTCTGTTTTACTGACCTTCTGGTCCACGACTGTTGTCTGTGAACGCAACAGCATAGGCCAGACCGGTGCCTGTTGATGTGGTATCCCTTGCTGCAGACGTGGTAATGCTGACGTGTCCTGCTGACGTGGTCTGCTGACGTGTCCTGCTGACGTGGTCTGCTGACGTGGCCTGCTGACGTGGCAACTTACCAATGTCGTCACAAGGGTACCCGGAGACAAGCAGCAACGACAAGGCGAGATATGGCAACAACGTAGGTGGGGAGGGGTGGGTGGGATAATCGCCCAACTCACACTTAGATAAGGAGCCACTAATCAAACCAGAAAAGTTTGAACTTTGCAAAAACAATTTCGAGAAACTAAAAAAAATAAAAATCCCGTTTTATTGCAAGTTCGGTAGGTCTCCCTATCTCCCTCGAAGTACGAAATGATCTCTAAAAGCGAAGAAAAATTTCGACTTTAGACCGCAACCGATTKATAGAACCAACTGACAGAATCCAACAACTGCGAAAAAAGTCCGAACCGAAATGACAAATATTCGGATTTATTCCGATGCGAATACTCGCAGTTTAAAAAAATAATATGTGCAGGAGGTATTTCCCGTACCGTTTTCAGAAAAACGAATTTCAGAAAAGAAGATATTCCGAAGTTCTAAGTACGGGAAATGCAACAGAAAAATCGAAATTTTCAAAAAGAAATATATTCCGTATTTTTAACAGCGAACTTTCGATTTTTCAAAAAGAAAAATGAAAATAGGAATTTCAGATGTTGCGATATAGCGATTTTCCACAGCAGAATAGCGAGAAAATAAAATCCGAGAAAAGAAAAAATTTCGATTTTTTTTTTTTTTTTGTAGTAAGGTCAAGATCGTGATTTTGGGGTCTAACTAGTATGTCCTGATCAACAGAAAAGACTAACTAGCTTTTTGATCCCCGCACACGTGTCAGATCAGATAGTCCTGATTCACGTGCAAACGCTCCGATACCAACTGTTACATGCACAGATATGCAATGTACGTAATAAACCGAGAATCTGCAACGTGATGAAAAGGACTGAATAGACAATGCGGTATGAGTAGAATCTCGACAAGCAATGTACATTCTCATTCATACATAAAGATGCTGAAGAGCGCAGGGAAGACTTTGATACAAAGACTGACCTGACAGGACTGACCTCATTCACGTAGTTCAGAGTAACGAAGCAGAATGCTAGACTACCTCTAACTAGCCCAGTCAATGTTTGAACTCAGACTAACATGCATTGTATCCATCACGAAGTGTGAAGGAGCCTGGCGCTGCACACAGGAAGAAAGCGCCAGGTCCAGACATACAAGGACGAAGAGATAAGGGACAGACGAAAGGAGGGAAGAAGATGGGAATGTCGTTAACACCAAGTCTTGGTCACCAATCCCAAACAGTCCCTCGTTGCCATGTCTGAATCCCCGAAAGTCGAGTCTGGATCAAATGTCACCAAACTCAATATCTCTTCTCTCATAGTCTGCAGATGCAGTGAAGTCAGAAGTGAGAGGGAGAGAAGAGATGGGGGACTGAGAAGGAGAAGAAGAAGAACTCTCTGTCTCTCTCTGTTGCGAACCAAGTACTAACCTGTGATGTTGGTGCTGTGCTGCAGGTACCTCGAAGACGAAGCTGGAGCAACGGCGCTGCAGGTAGGTGCCTCTGGCCTCCGCCAAAGCTCTCTCTCTCTCTCTCTCTAGTACTAACTAGCTATGGCGCCCAGCGCTGGAGACTACAGCTACCTACTGCGCCCAGCGCTGAAGACTACAAACTAACGCTACTACTCTACACTGCAGCGCTCCCTCCAGAGTGCTGCTCCCGAATCCTGAAGGCTACAACTGCCGAACTGCCTACCTCGGAAGTGCCTGGGAAGTCCTATGTACTACCGCGGCCTGCCTCCTGACTACTGGAGGGAAGTCAGGCCGAGGAGGCAGCTCTTGCCAATGCCGAAATGTGCCAGGGGCTGGCGTGCAGCAGCCTGCTTGAGGCTGGCGTGGGAAACAGACTAATAATAGTCTGTTTCGGAAACCCTGGTTCGGTGCTTGAGTTTCAGGGCCGGTCGTTCTGATGAACAACCGAAAATGGCCCTTCGTTTCAGGCTAAAAAGGCTGTTGCCATTTTTAGTCTGAAACGACCAGGGATAGGCCCTGGACTTCAGGCTTTTGGCCTGAACCGACAGGGGGCCTGTAAGCCCTGGATTTCAGGCTTTCAGCCTGAAATTCAGGCTTTCGGCCTGAAGTTCAGGCTTTTGGCCTGAACGCTGTCGGGCCTGCAAAATGGCCCGTGTGTGCACGCGCTGCATGTAACAGCTGTCTGTATCTACTCACGAAAATGGCGAGAATCCGTTGTCGCTCCACTACCTCATGAAACACACTCACGAAAATGCATTTCTTGAGTAGACAGAACCTCCTCACCCCTGGCACTCTTGACTATTCGAGAGCTCCCGCCTGCAGCGGCGGGAATTTCAAGGGAGGCATCCAGGACCTTCAAAAGTAGAGCATTTTTTTGGAGTGCACCTGGAGTCTGGGCGGACCACAACGTGCTGGCCGTGTCGTGTAGCTCTCTCAAAGAGCGGTCTGACATCCGAGAGGCCTTCTTGACTTTGACCTTCTAGAGTAAGGCTTAGCGGAGCGATGTTCTCCTTTTCAGTCGTTTCTAGAGTCCGACAGCTCTAGATTCGCTCCCGAAAATCTTCGAGAGTCTAGAGTAGTGGAGCGAGACCCATAGGGCCTCGCTCTCGCTCCACTACTCGCCATCCGCCATGCATGGCGGATGCGACTTCGTTCCACTGCATCGCCAATAGCCACGAAATGGACTCTGTCAGAATTTGGGTCCGAAATCACTTGGCGATGTGTCGCCAAGGCTTTCCATTTTCCCTGCCTGCAACGGCCCTTCGTGGAGGTGCTACTCCTCACCCCTCCGCGAAATGCTTCGTGTGGCCATGGCCCCTGACACAGCGGTCCTGACAGTCGACCTGCATTGTCCCCTAGTGTTGGCGAGTTTTCGCTGCACCCGGAGTGATTTCCAGTCCGAGTACATGGTGAAGAGAAGGCCGCCACCGTCCATTAGCTCACCATCCACCACAGTCCGGGGAGCAGGCGGGGACAGCAACCACAGTGCACGTGGCGGCGGCTATGTAATGGAACCAAGAGCCGTTTTCCGCCAGAAAAATGCACTTTTCGGCCTCGCCAAGTCTCGCCACTGTTTGTGGCCGACGGAAAGTAGTGGAACAAGGCCCATAGTGTTMAACATTCAACATTAAAAAAAAAAAAAAAAAAAAAAGAAACGTTTGTCTATCTTTGGAAATTTTCTTCTCTTCCCTGTTTCCAGCATATGCCTAAGCTGGGTATGGCCCCCAGAAATTCGGGGTTGTTTGTGAGGGATTCAAGGCCTCCTTTCATTGATATTCAAAGTTTAAATTTCTTCCAAAAAAAATAAAAAATAAAAAAATTCTTCTCTTTCAGGAGGACTCTTGTGGTCTTTAATCAATCCCCCATTTGTCCAGCATTTCGACCAAAAAATGGAAATAATAATTATTCAGGTCATCATAATTGGACTATCCTCACTTCGGGGTTGCTCGTGTCAACCGGGGCAAGGTCCCACTTGCGCAAATTAGGAGATTTCGGCTGTTGATCTTTGCTATCTACGCTCAGTATCTCTTAATTCGTGCAAGTGGGACCTAGCCCCCGGGTTCCAAGTCCCCCTAGCAGGGTTGAATTTCCTCTACCCCTGGAAATGTGCAGAAATGATGTTGAGTTTCCCCAACTGCACAGCTCCACAAACGCGTCCAGCTTCAAGCTTTGAGGAAACTCAACCCTGCTAGTGGTACTTGGCCCCGGCTAGGCGGATTTCCCACCAGATGCTTTTCCCAAAGGAAAAAGGAAAAAAGGAGTTGAATGATGACGAGAGAACCTACGATCAACCACCCCCTTACCCCTCCTGCAGGTTGCCCCATCTTGTCCTCTCTCTCCTCTCTCTCTCTCTCTCTCTCTCTCTCTCTCTCTCCCCTGCAGGTTGCCCCATTATGTTCCTCTCTCTCTCTCTCTCACACACACACACACCCACACACCCACACACCCACACACCCACTAGCACAGGCCGAGAAGCATTGACACGTCTTTCGTGCGTGAGGGCATGTGTATTTTGTATTCGCGCCCCTACTCTCCACATGCACAAACGACAAAAAATATGGCGGTGTATATTTCCATCTTCTAGCGCAAGATTCAGTCTCAATTTGCACATTTGGAGAGCAGAGGCCCGTAAATCCACAAAAAAGAATGGTTTATTGTGAAGAATCGTCGTTGGTTATTTCAACCTCCTGCCGTCATCATCAGGCACCTCAAACGACTACGTCGTCCCTCGGGACATCCGTTAAAATTGGAACTATACAAAGAAGATTATAAGGGTGACAAAAAAAAAAAAAAAAAAAAAAAAAAAAAAAAAAAAAAAAAAAAAAAAAAAAAACCGACTACGTCGAGCTGTTAACGTTTGACGCTTCATCGGACCTCGCTGCACTGCTTCATCTTCCTGTAGAACATAGCCAGAGACACCGTTATACTTTTTGTCTTTTTTTTGTGCATGTGGAGAGTAGTGCAGCGAGGCTCATCATCCTGTGAATGAAGAAATGAGGTCAGGGATTCCTTCTCTGACAACGGACTTGACCCTCGATCCATTTTCGGCGCGACTTTCAAAGAGTCGTCATCACGGGCCAAGTCCCACTTGAGCCCTGATTCTTGATTTCTGGCCACTGATCTTCATCTTCGTTATCTACGGTGAGCAATTGAGCAATTGAGCATTCGGGTAAGTGGGACTTTGCCCCCCAGCAGGTTGAACCAGAAACAGAAACGCAAGCCTGGCAGT